TACAAGAAAGCCTCTTTTAAAAACATAGAGTTTTACCTGTATATGAAAATTTCATTTCCTTGTTCAATTTTATAATGATCAAACAATAATAACAGAAATAGGAAATATGGCTTCTAAATGATAACATAATTGCCAGATCAATAGGCACAAAAGACACATTAAATAATCTTCTTTTACAAAAAGTTGTTCCGCGACCGCTGCCTACCGCCAATCTCCACAATCTTTAAACTTTACAATATATATATATATATATATATATATATATATTACTTTAAATCAAACTATACATTTATTCAGCTAAATTTATTATACAATAAACCAAATGATTTAAATCATATTATTGATATATCATCAAAAATTAATCATGTTTGGGCACAAATCTCGAGGCAAAAATGAGTTGGAAACTTTTGAAATCAAATTCGAGACCATTCAAACACCAGTTTTAGTAAACTTATAGTCAAAATGAACATCTCCAAAAGATGAACCCAATGACACCCAATTCGACTCATTCCAACTCCAAATGGGTCCAAATTGAAGACCTGAAGCACATTTGGAAGGTTCAAACCATAAATTGGACAACCAAATGATTTTCAAACATAACATGCTTATAATCGAATCGAGCAGCTCATCGAGATGAATTTAACGAGTCCAAAATCGTTGAATTATGATATCATGAAGACACTCAAATATTCAATAAACTATTTACAATCAAGGGAGTCGAGATCAACTGTCCATTCAAAATACTCACAATCTGCTGGTCATGTTACTCCCAACAAATTATAAATGGACCCCTCTTTTCATTAAGGGATGACCAATCAAGGAAAATAATGAAGGAAGAGAAACACGAGTTCTCTTGCCACTTGACTTCTCGACCACCGACTTTCGCAAGACTTTTAGATGACCACCAACTATCAACGAACTTCCACTCGACCACCAATTGACACCAACTTACACCCAGCTACCGACCGTCGTCGGACTTCCATTCGATCCTTATTCATCGCTAGATATCAACATGATAGTTGAATTTTGTAATATAATTGTTCTCAAAGTAAAAAGCAAATAAATCATTTGTAATCTATTCAAACGCTAGTTGATTTATTTCAATTGAGTATGACCTTATAGTTTTCCCTTTAGGGGTTTCCACATTAAAAATTATGGTGTTTCTATTTTCTCTATTTGTGAGTTGAACACTCGTGCTTTATCATTGCGAATATTCTAATATGCAATAATTATATTCTTTTTATGCTGTTTTTTTTTTTACAGTGTAATACAATTTTCGTCAATCAAATAGCCTCTAAGACCAAACAGTGATATTTCACGGTTTTATTGGACTGGCAAGATAGAGGGAGTGTTTTTGGATTTACGTTGGAATGGCCGACACTTTTCCGTTACAAAAGATGGATTCAAAATTTGAAATGGTTTTCTTGTAATTTAATATCCGACTCTAAAGACAGCTCGGAATGGGCGACAGTGCTATAGCATGTGAGTTAGAAAAGGGCAAAGCTTGTAATATTTTGGACTTGGGAGTTTGGAGTAGACGGTGGCTTAAAGGAAAAAAAGTAATTTGTCTCGCCTGTCTTTTTTGTCAGTCAGCGGTCGATCTGAGCTTAAAAAAGAGTAAACCAGTGAGATGGCATTAAAGCCGAACCTGTTTGGGTTGAAGAAAAGGTTAGATTTTAAGAAAAGGTTTTTTGCCCGCGGTCAGGGCAAATTGGGATCATGAGACCGCAGGCTGGGTGAGGGCTGGATGGCGAGTCGGCAATCGTGGTTAGGTTGATATGTAGGCGACGGTATGCTAGCCTGTATGCAGGCGACAACGACTATGGGAGCTTTGGACTGTCAGGTCGACGCCGACAATGACACGACACGGGTCTACACGACGCCGGAATGACACAACACGATAATCGCGATGAGACCGGCGCCGACAACAGTAGCATTGACAGCGGCTCATCCATGCACATTTCATGCGACGAGAAGGTATGAGACGGGATGGTGATCACTCGACGTGGATGGGACGACAGATGTGACTCACACGTTTTTTCAAAATGGTTAATCTAGTTAGGTTGAGCTCGGATTTCGAATCAACTCGAATATGACTTGTTTTTTTCAAACTAGTCGAATGCGGAAACCTGATCCCAACAAATTTGCAAAATTGGTTGATTAAAATCTTAAAATTTTGGGTCTAATTTAACCTATATTTTCAATTCGTGTCAAATATTGACACCCAACATTTTGAGCTTTATTACAGGATTAACGGAATCCGAATATTTCATTTTTCATGGCTCTGAAATTTTCAACAGATCACTCAAGCTTTATCAATTAATATATATATTATATTCCTACGTGTTAAATGAAATCAGTTTGAATAAAGTTATGAATTCGAGTTATTAGGGCCGTAATCGGGTGGTTGAGAATTTGAAATTTTCTGCTGTTGATACATTAACTTACGCTAATTCACCAGTGCTCATCATTAAGAAAAACAAAGGAATAAATTGACGATAATCGGGTGGTTGAGAATTTGAAATTTTCTGTTGTTGATACATTAACTTACACTAATTCACCAGTGCTCATCATTAAGAAAGACAAAGGAATAAATTGACGATAATACACTAAAATAATGGTCTTTGCTTTCCCCCAACTGTCCTTTTCCCTGCCCTTTTGGGCTTTTCAAGGTCCTCTTCACACTGCACGCTATCTCACAGCTTCAAGAGCTCTTGCAGCTTCCCTGCTTACTGTACCGGAGTCAAGGGAGAGCCGGAGAAGAAGCAACAGGGAAAGCATCCTCCTTTCCTATCAATGGCTTTCCCTCTACTCACCCTATCTCTGCTCTTCTTCTTCCATCTCGTCCAAGGAAACCCTGAACTTAGAGCTCTAATGGAACTCAAGTCTTCTCTTGACCCCGACGGTCATTACCTGTCTTCTTGGACTCCCGGAGGCGACCCTTGTCGTGGCCACTTCGAGGGAGTAGCATGCAATGAGCATGGCAAAGTGGCCAACATCTCATTACAGGGGAAGGGGCTCTCTGGCTCTATCTCGCCGTCGGTGAAGGAACTCAGGTGCCTTTCTGGGCTTTATCTACATTACAACGCACTTAGAGGGGAGATACCGAAAGAGATTGCAAATCTGACTGAGCTCACTGACCTCTATCTCAACGTTAATAATCTCAGCGGCGGCATTCCGTCGGAAATCGGCAACATGGCTAGTCTCCAAGGTTAGTTCAAAGAAGTATCTTTGGGGTTTGAAGGGTGGCTTTTGGTTCTCGAGGATAAAGTTTGGATTTTGCCTAAGGATGGCTTTTGGTTCTCGAGGATAAAGTTTGGATTTTGCTTAAGGATTTTGTCTCAGTTTGGTTTCTCTCAGTTTAGTTTCAGAAGGTTTGCTGATAACTAAAGGCCCCAGTAGTAGAAGCTTACTCCGTAAAAATGGAGCAGGATTTGAGAGACTTGTTTGCTTCTTTTGCATGTTTGTGTTTATACTTTATAGCGGCGTGTTTTGCAAGTAGAGTTTTTACCCGTTTTCTTCCCTCTTCCCTCTTTTTTTTTTTGTTATTTTTTGTTCATTGCAGATAAGATTACTTTCTTTTGCAATCTTCTTAATAGTTTCAATTATATGCCATTTCCATTTTACTCAGTGGTTCTTTTGTCTATCGCTGGCTCCGATTTCAGAGGCCTAGTGTTTTTTAGCATATTAATATTCAAAAGATCCGGCCTTTATAAATGTTCCATCTTTTACCATTTTGCATATTGTTCCTTCTTTTCTGGTCCACTTTTCACTCCTTTCCGTCAACACTATGATTTTTCTCCTGCATTACTTGTTCTTCCGCCTCTTTCTTTTGCTTGACCTTAGCTCGTTGTTAATTTGTGGATCGTAATTAATTCCTTATGAAGAACTTTTCGCATATACTCAGTAATGGCCATTGTTAGGATTTACATACAAAATATGTTGCTCTTATGTTTTCATCACAAAAGGGGATTTCTATCGATATGAGAACAAAAAGAGCACAGTGAAAGAGGGTCTGCAGATTACCTTCTTCATCATTATTACAGTGAAACTTGTAATCTGGGCAACAGAAGATAACTATAAATTGGGCAAACCTTTATTAAAATTCGTAGGGAAATTTTTAAGCGTTTAATCACTTAATAGAATTATGAATAGCTTCTTAGTTTCCGAATCTACTGTTTTTAAAAGATTTTTGGTGTTCTATTCCTATTGCAGTATTGCAGCTTTGCTATAACCGGTTGACAGGTAGCATACCTACTCAATTGGGGATTTTGAGTAAGCTCTCTGTTCTTGCTCTGCAATCGAATCAGCTAACTGGAGCCATTCCTGCAAGCTTGGGTGATTTACCCGAGCTTGTGCGTCTCGATTTGAGCTTCAATAAATTCTTCGGTTCAATTCCGAGGAAGCTTGCTCTGCTCCCTCAGCTATTAGTCTTAGATGTTCGAAACAATTCCCTCTCTGGAGATGTCCCCACTGGTAATGTCCCTGTCAATTCAATTTCTCTTGTCTTTGTGTTACCTCTTTACTAAAGTTTGCATGAACACTTTTGATATAGATTTACAGAGGCTAAGCAAAGGTTTTCAGTTTGCAAATAACAAGGGACTATGCGGTATAGGGTTTTCTTCTCTACAAACTTGCACTTCTGCTGACCTCCTTAATCCAAACAGACCTGAGCCATATGGCCCCAACGCCTCGGCTGGACTGCTCCCAAGAGAGATTCCTCAGTCAGCAGATTTGAGCCGAAATTGCAAGGGTTCACGCTGCTCGAATGGTTCCAAATCCTCAGCCATTGTAGTTATTATCGTCGTAATTGTTGTTTCCATAGGTGGACTGATCTCTGGACTACTTGTATTCGTATGGTATCGCCGTCGGAAACAAAAGATTGGCAGTGCACTCGAACTCTCGGATAGCCGACTTAGCATTGACCAACCCAAAGAAGTCTTTAGAAAGAGCGCATCTCCTCTCATCAACCTTGATTACTCAAACGGATGGGACCCTTTGGCTGAAGGTGGTAGCAGCAATGAATTTTCACAGGAGGTCCAGAGCTTCAGATTCAATTTGGAGGAAGTGGAATGTGCAACTCAGTATTTCTCTGAGGTTAATTTGCTTGGGAAGAGCAACTTTGTTTCGACTTATAAAGGTATGTTGAGGGATGGAAGTCTTGTTGCTGTGAAGAGCATTACTAAGACAAGCTGCAAGACTGAGGAAGCTGAGTTCTTGAAGGGATTGAAGGCTTTGACAGTACTCAGACATGAAAACCTTGTTGGTTTGAAAGGGTTTTGTTGTTCCAGAGGTCGAGGAGAGTGCTTCCTTTTATATGATTTCGTTGCCAATGGAAGCTTATCGAATTATCTTGATGCAAAGGATGATGAAAAGGAGAAGATTCTTGATTGGTCTACAAGGGTTTCAATCATCAAGGGCATAGCTAAGGGTATTCTAAATTATAGTTCTTACAAAAAAGCATTTAAGCTTTCATTACTTAAAATGATGCAGTCGTTAAAGATTTCTAATTTTTTTCTATTTAAAACCTGAGAACTATTTTATGTTTCAACTGTTCATATATGTTTATGTTTGCCTAAATTCAGATTTAGGCTTCGTTTGAGACGGCTTTCTTACTGCTTCTTAAAACAGCTTTTTAGTATAAAAATTTTCTCTTATTATAGAAAATTGCTTTAAGAATCAATAAAAAAGCCGTCCCAAACGAAGCCTTAGTAAATCATTAGAAGATTAAAATCTGATAACTGTTTTGAATCACTACTGTTAAATATTTGCTAAGTTATAAATTTGTTTCATAATTAAGATTTATGAGACGAGAAATTCTTAAATCCGTTAAATGGAGTGAATGTTGGGATTTAACATTAAGAAATTAGGATTTAAAGTTCCCAAATTCTGCTCTGCTAAGTCTTTGCTTAAATGCTACCCAACTAAAATAGAATACAAATAGCCCTTCAGACTGTATTATTAGGCATTTTGTCAGCTGTTTTCTTCAACACATTTCTCTAAAGTCAATCAATATTGTTGTTGTAGTTGACAAAATTGTCTTTTTATATTATTATTTTTCTATGAATGACGAATCTATCAATCACCTAACTTACTTGGACTTAGTTTTCTCTGAAGAACAATAGCAATTTGTTTTGGGAACATCTTCTTTCTCCATGAAAGTCAAATTAATCTAATAATTTCTCGTTCAGGTATTGAATACCTCCACAGCAGCAGAGTAAACAAGCCAGCCCTTGTTCACCAAAGCATATCAGCTGATAAGATACTGATAGACCAAGCTTTTGTTCCCAAGCTCTCTGCAGCTGGTCTGCACAAGCTTTTAGCTGATGATGTCGTCTTCTCCACCCTCAAAGCTAGCGCCGCAATGGGTTACCTTGCTCCTGAATACACGACCACTGGCCGCTTCACTGAAAAGAGCGATGTCTACTCCTTCGGAGTTATCATGTTCCAAATCCTCACCGGCAAGACAAAGGTCACCCACCTTCGACTTACGGCAGATTCCGGCCAACTCGACGACCTCATTGACAAGAAACTCAGCAAGTGCTTCTCCATTCCAGAAGCAGCGAAGCTTGCAGGAATTGCATTGATATGCACAAGTGAGATTCCAGGCCAGAGACCAACAATGGAGGCTGTGCTTCAAGAACTGGGAAGTAACTGATGCTTCAATTTCTAACTGTACTGATCTTTTGTAATTGTAATCGACTTTTTTATGTATCTGCCTGTTTTAAATTTTACTTGAACTCTTATGTCTTGTAAGAGAAGTGAAGAAGTTCCAGTGTTTTGGAATTGTTCTTTGACATGGTAGTCTAGTCTTGTTTGTATTAGTTGTTGATGGTCTTCTTCATGGATGGTTGGTGAGGCAGCTATTGAAACGTGAGAGCTTGGTGAGTTCTTTGTTAAGATCGTTTCCAATCGAAAATCTCATTTTTCACTCCAAAATATCGTGAAATTAAAAAATGCTGTGATTCATCTTCAATCGAACTCTATTTTTACACCATTTTGCGAAGGTAACGGTCTTTCTTTCTTTCGTGCATTTCTTCCACAAATTCGGTAGAGACAGAAAAATAGCAAAGATGAACAGTGCAACGCTAATATTGATGTCTCATTGTTCATCCGCAATCAAATAGCATAAGTTTTATTGTTTGATTAGAGCTGGTGAGATAGGTCATTCAGTGTTTTGTTTGGAGTTTAGTTGGAGATGACCTTAAGGTTTGTCTTTAATGTTTTGTTTTGAGGACTGTGGGAAGGCTTTTTCAGTATAGCTGGAAAGAAGAAAAAGCAGAAACCATAGAGGACTGGCGCACTGCCTACCACTGCGTTGTCACTGATGAGATGGTGGGCAGAGTCCTTTTGATGTTGACTTACATCAGCAATGGAGTAATTGGGGTGGCCCTGAAAGATTCCTGAGGAGAAATTGTGAGAGCTGGATAGGAAATTTTTTTTAATATATTCTTCTTCATCCGACTTGTCTTCTGCCTTGCCTTCATTAAGAAGAGGGTTGAATTATAAATCAGAAATCCCGTAAGAAACAAAAGCCAGAATGGTGATATGTGAAGTTGAGGATGCGGATTTTTAGAGTTGGTCAGCAACCTGAACCATAAATATATAGAATATATAGAATATTTCTTAGCCCTTTGAGAATGCTCTCATTTTTCCACTCAGTGATTTTAAGATTGATAGCTTTCTTAATCTTGTTGCAGGTTGAAGAGGAACATGAACATGAAAAATGAGATATGAAATTCCTCTCATTTCTCTCACTCCAAATGAAGTTTATCGAGCGGCTGGTAATGAGGCGGTACAAATTGTTGCAATCCGCCATTAGATAGTCCAATTCAGTGATATAATAAAAAATTTGGAATATATTTGGCCTCATAAAGTGATTCTTTAACCCATGAATGAGATCACTAATCACATCAAAGGAATAATCACACATTCAAAGAAAATGTGTGAGCTTTCATGACATTTTTGGCATAGAGGACATAGGCTGTTAACCGCAACATTCCTTGTAATAAGAGCATTTGCAGTTTTTCGATTCCAATAAATGGCCATCCATGTAAAAATCGAGTATCTCAAAGCATAGTATTTATGTCAAATATTATTATTTCAATTATAGATAGAACCTTCACTAAAAAAGCCCCACGAAAAATTCTTAAAAGAATTAAGATCAAAATTTTGCCATCCTAAACAACAAGAGTAGTCATCATGAATAGGAATGGACGCATCATTTGCAAAAGCAAGAGCTCTAGGAAAATGCCAATTTCTATTTAAGATAATAGCATAGACAATAGCATTGCTAGGAAATAAGGAATAGAACATCAAAAACTTTGAAGAATCTATGACACAAGGCATTACACCAACGATCCCAAAAAAGAGAAATGGGGCTATTGGGGGTAATAAAGAAAGTAAACTTTTTTTATCAGTTAGTAATGGAACATATAATTTTCCCGAAAATAAAAACTTCAAAGGAAAATGTTTCCGTAGTGAGCCAATAAGAAGCTCTAAGCCATATAACTAGGGGTGATTGAGAGTTGCACATTATGCAAATAAGAGATCAATTAAAAACATATTGAAGCACTTGAATAGCTGAAAGACCAAGCCCACCATATTGTTTAGGCTCACAAGTATTTTTCCAGGAAATGAGGCGCAATTTCCTAGCATCAAAGTATCCAAAGTAAAGAAAGTTGGCACAGACTTTACTAATGAACTTGCAGCATTGCTTAGGTAGGATAGATCTACGAATTCAATATGCAATAATGTTCCAAATCGTGTATCGAAGGAAAAATAACCTACCTACAAAAGAGAGAAGCTTTGCTTTCCAGTCATGAAGATGATTAGAGATAGTTTGACGGGTTGAAAAACTGCAATCTTGACTTTTTTGAGGGAAATAGGGAGACCAAGATAAATGAGCTTGGAGCTATTGGAATTAATATAGAGCGTCTCACATATTTCATGAGAAATATGGGATTTAGGTGATATAATAACAACACTATTCTCAAGGTTAACATAAAGAACAATAGCATCAACAAAAGTTTTCATGATGTGGTTCATTGAAATGCAATTATGAATGAAATCTCTCCCAAACATCAGTAGATCATCCGCATAAAGTAGGGGTGGAACCAAGAAGAGTTTAGGGTGGACAATTGCCCACCCTAAAGTCTTAATTTTTTTTAGAAGAATAAGCATTTGTACTATTTTCCCTAGCTTCAATAAATGCAATTATCCAAATTCTAAGAAAAAAAAATTATATTTCCTATTTCATATATAAAATTATGTATTTTACAATCATATTTACTCACCTTAAAAAAAGAGGCTAGTTTCAAACATAAAGGATATGATATATATAATAGTCACTAGATATAATACCTTAAAATCCCTAACTAAATAGAATAAATAAGGGCTAAGAAGGAAAGGAAAAAAAAGATTTAAGGTTTGTGTTTTGGCTTGACCATTTTCGTCGATGATTTTTGAAGGTTTACTGGATGATGATAAGGAGGTCCTTACTGTCCCGTCAACTGTGTTGGTTGGCAACCTGGGTATCTCAGCATTGGATGGATTGAGATCGATTTAGGTCACCTATGGATGGTCCGTGCGTTGCTGTTTTGGCTGGTGATGGGGGCCTCCATCTTTGAGTCCCCGTTCGATGAATTTTTTGCCCTTTTTTTTTGTTTTGGTTTCTTATGTTTGTTTTGAGTATCTACTATTTGTGTCTTACGTGTTGGGCTGTTAACTTTGTACTCCTGCCTTTTTTATTAATACAATTTTCTATTAAAAAAAAAGGGCTTAGAGGAAAGCCCTAACTCAAACCATTAGAGGATGGAAAGAATCCCTCAATATCACCTACCACATAAATGGAGAAATAAACATTAGTAATGCAGGCCTTTATCCAAGAGATAAACTTAGAGGAAAAAAAACCCTTTTGAGCTAACCTAACAAGAGCAACTGCTGAACCAAATATGCCCTAAATCTCTCCTTTGTTAATGTAAATTAATATTAAGATTGATTTATTATTAATAGCATTTGATAGGACTTAAAATATAAATTTATTTTCGAGGCGGTCATAAAAAGTTAGTTTAGCTCAGTAGTGATAAATCATAATTTGAATAAGCAAATTGTGGGAAACATTATGAAAAATATCATTGCATTTCAAGCAAATCTATAAAATTATCAATGTTGCGTCCAATTTTATATGAATTAACTAAGTTCCCAAAGGAGATTTTATTAAGATGAATGATATGAGAATAGTGAAATAATGATTTCTAAATCTTGACTGGTTTGATATAATTCAGGATGCTGTTAACTGGTTCAACTGATCTTAAGCATGAATCTTTTCATTTCTTTGCTTAACAAAATCTAAGTCATTGAGCACTCATTGAATACTTCTAAGGCTTTGTTTGTGATGAATTTCTTACTACTTCTTAAAGCGGTTTTTTAATAAAAAAATTAAAATATTAATACTAAAATACTGTTTTATGAAGCAATAAGAAAGCTGTCCCAAACGAAGCCTAAAACTTCATTTGGGATGACTTTCTTTCTACATCTTGAATCAGCTTTTTATTAAAAAAACTGTTTTATTACATTTTCTTATTACATTTAGTAAAAACTGCTTTTTAACTTAAAAGAATTTAATTTTTGTACTAATAAATTTATATGATAATTGAGAACTATCTTTTTAATAGCAATATTATATTTTCAACTCTCCAAACATTTTATCCTTCGATCTTAGAGCTCAATTTGTCATGTTTTTTCCTTAACATAATCTGCAGCATTGTTTGGGTAAGCTTTTTCATAATTGCTTTAAAATTTTTGCTCAGAAAAGTTGTTTTTGAAACGAAGTTTTACAACTAATTTATAAATCGCATTAACAAGTTAACAATAACAAAAGTTTGTTAGTAATATATCATCATCATCATCAAACAATCAAACAATTTATCCAACATCAAAATCACCTGCTTTGCTCGATTTAGGAGTATAACATAAAAGATTTTTTTTTTGAGAATAGAATATCAACCCGCTGCCACCCCTATACGAGGAATATGACGGCGTAACTAATCCCTCAGCGAGCCAACTAAGAAATAGCCCTACAAGTGTATGATCCGTATTTATTTTTTCCCCATTTAAGACGACGGACATGAGTTGGGGGATTTTCAACCATGCTTGCCACCAACCCAGCTAAGCCCGATAGGATATAACATAATAGAATACAACAGTATAAATATAGCTAAACACAATGCCAAATAAAGCATTAAGTTCCCGTCAATGAAACATAGGATTAAATCCTCTCTTCCTTGCAAGACAACAGATTTTTGAAACCAGATGAAACTACTAATTAATTGTATCTCTAAATATATTATCATCAAATATTCATATTACATAAAAAACAAAATGGTCTTCAGAGTTTCCATAAAGAAATTCACCATATTGACGTAGTATTCCTTCTAAAAGTTTTTTGATTCATGATAAAAAAAGATATATTTTCCTGTTGAATAAATGACTAACTTTAATCTCTGGTGTTTAACATAGTAAGCTCAAATCAAATGCTAGCAAGTAAACAAAAGAATCATAAACAAATTAACATTCATTCATTAAAAAACCACCTAACCAAGCTAAATCACAAGCCTTGCTCACAGGAAAAACTGGGGCAAAATAATTACATTTCCCTGATAAAGAAAGAGAAGTTAACAAATTAAAAGATATTTCAGTCCAAATCTACAAAACAGTATTGATATGAAGAGCTTTTAGCAGCGCAGTGGCCATTTGCTTAACCAGGACCTGCCTTCCAGATCTCTGTCCATCCCTGCGCTCTTCTATCAAATTTTGGAGCTTCTGAGGGAGGTCGTTTTCCACTATAAGCTGCTTTGGTCTTGGATGATGCTCATAAACAGCCTTCAGAATCACACATCAATACTAAGCTTGTGCAACAAAAAACTGTAAAATAGCGGCTATTTTTTTACTTATAAACAGAAAACTAACCTTGATTAATTTAAGAAGATTGAGTCTCGCAATAGCATCTTGATGGTCTAGTCTTGAAATGAGCTGAGTAGTAAGCCCATTGGTGGCCATTGCAGTATTTATTCGCGGCGATTTCCTATATGATTTGAGTAGAAATAATATAGACAAGTATAGTTTAAAGGATGAAAGTTGGAGTGATGAATATTAAACACATACGTAATGATCTTCAAGAATGGCTCCAATATATTCACAAAATATTGCTGTGGGCAGTTCTGGAAGAACTTCACCAACTTCTGAATAGCTTCTTTCTTCAGTAGAGCTTGTTCAACTTTCCTGTGGTCGCTGTCATGAGCCAAGCAGACTGCAAGAGAATCTAATGCGGTAACAGCCCATGCTTCATCCTCCAATAGATTTAGATATACATCCAATCCACCGTGAACCCTCAACTGCTCCCTTGAGTTTCGGGAAGCATAGGCCATGTCACAAAGCAGAGACAATGCCCACAGTTTCAAGTTTGAATCAGACAAAATAAAGTTCATTAGATGGGGAATAATTCCATTCTCAGCGGCTTGTTCCTGCCTCCTCTTGTTTATTTTGCAAAGGTTGAATAATGCACTAAGTACCTGAAATTTTAGTGAAAATGAGATCAGAGACCAGTCTTCCTGCATCTCCATTTGTGTATCAGGTGTATAGTTTTGCTAATTAATAAAACAATGAAGACTCATGACGAAAATTGTACGGTACACTCAAATATGTTGTTCCTTGTTGCTAACTATAAATAATACAGAGAGACACTTAAATCATCAAATAATGAAGTTGTCCTATTTGAGCCTGGCCGTTCAAATAGCAGCATAAAAAATTGTGCTTCTGTAATCTTCACGCAAACAAGAGTGGGACAAAGCAACTATCTTTCTAAATCGCCGCCATTGGATCTTTCATTTTCTTAAGAGTGGAGCGGATAATCTTATGAGTAGCAATAAGGATATCCAAAGTGCATCTACCTTTAGTGAAGCAACATTAAGGGTGATCAAACAAGAAGGAAAGAAGTATATGAGTAATTAGCCAAAACTTTGGTGGAAGACTTGGATATCCCATTAATAAAACTAACAAGCAATTTCTTGAGATTTATCCAGGCACTTTTTTGAGAATAAATCCAAATAAAAGAGATCGAGCTAACAAGAGATTCCTTGCCGAAGAAAATATCCTCATATAAACACAATATGAATAATATCCCACATTTCTTATGGAAAAACCACCCAAATTAAGAGGTTTTGAAGCACCTAAAGAGAAAGTAGCATCCTTTCATCTCCAAGGTAAAAGGAGAATCCAAATATATAAAAAGAGATAAATCATATGAAGTGTAAAACTTAAAAAAAATCTAAAAAACGCCAATTTGAATAAGTTCTTTTGAATTGATTTCCAAGCAATCAATGAAAAAATGAAGTGTAATATCTACTGTTCTGAAATCCAGGTAATTAAGGTTAATCAAACTAAAATTTTATTTGATTTTGATTTAATTTGTAATTATCCGCCTTAGAGTGTTTAAGGAGACCCTAAGTGAACAAGAAGTGAAATTCTAAAGTATCAAAATTGCCCTATAAGCGCTATGTGTCGGGCTGGGCAGCACTGTGGGATTAAGCTCTCGGGTGGAGAGGGGAAAATGAATGTGCGCTGTAGCGCGGGTAACGTCGTCCTGGCGCCAAGTCTCAAGTGGAAAGATTCTAGCATAATCTGGAAGATTTTCTGGGAGCACAGTGGCATTGCGGAGTTGAGGCTGTGGTGCAAGGTCATATTAGTAGTTTTTTAAAATAATAAAATATCTAAAATGATTTGCTTAATTCACCTCACCATAGCCATTTGCCGGAGAAGAAAAGGAGAAGAGAGAAGAAGAGGAGAGAGTAGGAAAGAGAGTGATTTCAGATGCCAAAGCTCAGGATTCATCAGTCAGGTCCATTCAAGATATTATAGGGCACGAGGCAGACTTCTGAACCCCTATCTATAATTCAATCCAGATATTTTATAAAAAGTTATAGATAAAAATGTATTTTTCCTGAGTTTCATGATGCTTTTATCACATAACTTCTAATATGTTGTACGCTTTATTCTGAACGTTTTGATTATATGAATCAAATTTTTAAAAATTGGATTTTTCTATGCAAAATTTTTGAGTATATAACTGAATTGAGAATTCTCTAGGTATAGTGGGATTATGGGGGTTTTAGCTAGTGTGGTTTTAGCAGCAAACATTTATCTTTGCACCCTTCATTGCTTTGACACCAGCACCAGTGTTTTACCTACAATGCTTTATTTCCTACTTTAGTAGCTTGTCTTTCTTTAGTACCGTTGTTTTAGTTTCAGTACCTTGCTTCCAACACTTTGTTTCGCCTACAATTCTAGTTTTCACTCAACAATAGTTTTGCATGTAGTAGTAGCTTTACTTGTTTGTTATTTCCAATATTAATTTTGTTCTTAATATCAATTATGCGCTGACTTTCATCTACTTGTTTGCAGATTTTTGTGACTAGCAGTTTCAGGAGCTGGAGCATGTAGCTACAAGGTTTATTAAGAGCTGAAGCTTGCCAGGATCTAGAGCTTGCTAGGAGTTGGAGGGGTTTACATTAAAATTTTTGGAACCTTTCTTTTTGTTTTAGTGTTTTCTTAATTTTAGGAGTTTGTTATTAGTTGGTGTGAGTTGTACATAGGTTATTTGATGTGAACATTGATTTTTCTGTGTTTTATTGATTTTAATAAAAAATGCAAAATTCACCAAAGTGGCTCTCCCCTCGGTGTTTTCTACTTGCATTTTAAATTTCTTAGTTAATTTAGTTTATATTATAGTTCATATTTTAAATTAAAATAAACCTCACGGCTCATTAATTAATTTTAATTTAAAATTACTTGATTTTTAATTAAATTATGAATTGAATTTAAAACATATTGCTCAATTAATCTAATTAATTTAAACGTTTTAATTCAATAATTCATTTAATTAAAGATTTATTTTTAAATTGAATTTTAAAATTAATTAATTAATTGAGTTATTTATTAATTAAACATGAATTTTAATTTGTTATTAATTAATTGATTAGTTATTCAGCAAATCAAATTAATGTTTAATTAACTGATTAGTTGTTTAGTTAGTTAGTTAATTAATTAACTAATGTGTTTAATTCATTAATTAATTTGTTTTATTAATTAAAAGTTTTCTTGCTTAATTTAATTAGTTCAATTAAGTTGGAGATTTAAATTTAATTAATTGGTTTTGTTAATTAAAATATTTTAATTTTAAATTAATTAGTTCAATTAAATAATTAGTAAATTAAATTATATTTTGAATTAATGTTCAATTAGATTTTAAATTCTGATTAAATTTGATTAATTAAATAAATTTTAATTTTTTGTTATAATTAATTTAAATTATTTAATTTGATTTGAGATTGATTAATCAATTAGTTTAAAAGAGAGTTTTAACTTTAAATTAATTTGATTTAAAATTAATTGTTTAGTTAAATTAAATTTATTTTAAAATTAATGAGTTATTCTCCAATCATTCATGGGAAATTCAGTAATCTCTCGAGACAAATTTGATGGCTTTTCAGGGCAATTTCGACAACCTCTCAACGCTCCCCACCCTCTCTGCGAGGGGAGGTTGGGAGGGCACTTACCCTTTTAGGTCTGCTCGATTGGATCAAAATCAATGATCGAGGGCTTCGGGGAAGCAAATCGACACAGGTATTGGTCTTTGAGTCCTCCAATTTAGCGATTATGGTAATTCGGCGATTTCCCAACATTTCAGCACTCCTCCCCGCGAGGGGAGGTTGGGGAGGACACTTGCCCTTTTAGGTCTGCTCGATTGAATTAAAATCAACGATCGAGGGCTTTAGGGGAAGGCTCGACCCCGGTATACATCTTTGACTCCTCAAATTTGATGATCACGGTGTTTCCTCCCTTCTCTTTTATCAATACTAATAATTATAATAATTATTACTTATTACTATTATTAGTTATAATAATAATAATAATAATAATAATAATAATATACAATAAATCCCTCACTCATGTTTTAAATCAAGAAAGCAGAAGATCAGGAGGGAAGCGGACACAAGGAAGATTAGAAGAAGGCTGATTGTTTGACTTCGAATACAAAGGAGCAGGTGGTCCGAGTGGCTAGGGGCGGTTGTGTGTGAGGGAGCCGGAGGCGGAGGAAGGTTCGGCTTTGCCTGCGTGTGAAAGAGTTAAGCGGCAGGCAAATAGACCCGCGAGAGACACGGGAGGGGAATCAGAAGTCCACATGTGTGCTCGACGAATCGGAGGTAGAGGCGGGCGGATTGGGCTGCTGGTCCGAGAGGTGCTGCTTCGCTCAGATAGGGGCGGACGAGAGGTGTTGCTTCGAGCGTCTATGCATGGATCAGAGGTGCAAGGCGGAATTGGGAATGTCTGGGCCCTGCTCGCATGGGAGAGAGAGTTTGATTGGAACGGCTCGTTAACACAATCAAGAAGAGAAAAGCAACTTGTGCCGCGCTAGGGAAGGGCAGAGCGGCCTGGTGCTGCGCGTAAGGCGCGATTGAGCTAGATGTCGTGCAATGATGAACATGGCAGGTGTTCGGTCTCACGTGAAATGAAGCAGACGACAACAGGGAGCGTTCAAATGGAATTGCTAGAGAGCCAAAAATCTCATTTGCAAGTGAGCATAAGTTCTATTTTTCCATTCTCCCAATTGCAAGAGCAAAGAGGCTTTTATTTAAAAATTTTCAAACAAGAAATGGAGGATTAGGCTTCATTTGCCGTCCAGATATAGAGGGAGGTGGATCAGTTCATCTAGTTGGTTAGTGCAAAGGAGTCGGACGCGTCAAAGTGAGAGGTAGATCGGTTCGGAGGGTGTAGAGGTTCAGTTGCAAGCGAGAGGAGGCATATGACTTCGCTCTCGCATGGGACAGCCGGGAGGCATGCTGTGTCCGCAAGTTTGCACATGAGAGCGTGTTTGTGTGCGGTTGCAGGTAGAATTGGGAAGTGCAGCACGGGATATGTGTGGGCACCGTGCTAGTGTTGTTCACGACCGGTGAGATCTGGGTTCACTCGCGAAGGTTGGAGTGGAGGGCTGGCTCAAGTTTGATTGCAGTGTGGCTTTGGATGCCGCAATCGAGGTAGAGGAACTGATGGAAGGTAGCCAGGTTGGTAGGCGGAAAGAACAAAAGATGAACATGGTTCGGATCTCGTTTACGTGGGAGGAGTTCGGACGGAAGACGAGCAGGGTTCGTTCTTGTGTGAGAGAAGTAACCGACGAGGGTTCCCAACTGACTACGAGCGTAAGTTTCTTTCGTTCATTTCCAATTATTTTCTTCGAATCGAGTCAGCAATTATGGTAACGACGTGCACGTTCGACGACGTGTTAACGTGCTACAATTATTGCATCCTTTTATTCAAATAAGAACATCACCAACATGAAGTCATTAAAAGGTACCTATAATCATACCTATTATAGTGTTCGGTCTCCATTGCATAGGAAGTTAGTAAAGTACATTCCAACTGCAAGCTACTTTGAATGTACAAGCTTCAATTAAAAGGCGGGCAAAACAAGATCCTTATATATGTTTCTGAGCATGTATCCGAGGTCAAGACATGTTGAGCATGGTGTACATACTCAACATGTCTTAACCTTAGATACAAGCTCAGAAACATAGTACAACATAATGATATTCTCTCAATAATGCCTATAGTACAATGAAATTACACAATTCTCTCTTTGTGAGTGTTAAAAAGAGCAACAAAATTAACCTAGGAGAAACAAATAACTAGAATCTCACATTTATATATGAAACACACATGATAAAAGAAGCATAAAGACAAGAATACTATATTTTACAAGGTTTAATCAAGATTGAGTTAAGGGTTGTTCGGTGTATCGAAAAATAACATTGGGGGAACAAAATACAATATAAAATAAATGTGAAGTGTTTGAAATGGTTTAGAGTTGTTTGATTTGGTAAAAAAAATATAAGAGTTTATTTTTTGTGCTCAGTTTGAGATAATATAAATTTATTATAAAACCTGACGACAAGCTACAAGGTAGTGGTGATGGAGGAAGAGGGGCAGTGTCCAACAGTATTTATGACAATGCAGTTCCAAGATGCTTCCAACTAAATTTTCATGAGGCCATCTAGTTTTATAGTGTTCCTTTCCCGCTGATCCAAGAGAAATTTCGGTTGAAAATTTTGAAAAAGACTAGCAAGTGGATAATAGTTTTGCAACACAATCTAAATCTTCATAACACCTCAATGTATTTTCATCCTTCTAACACATATATTTCTGTTGTTAGAAATAAAGTGTCTGCATTTTTATTTCTGTCCATCTCCATCCCCAAAGCACGGGCACAATTTATTATAATCCAAAATCCTTTTAAAGTAAAATCACTTTAATTAATCTTAGAAAGTTAGCACGCTTACTTCACCATGTATTTGAGAGACAAAAGGTCCTTCATGCAGTCCAAGATTAGGAATCAGATGCTTGATGGCCTCTGCACGCTGAAGAGAGTCTAAACAGTTTGGATCCCCAGAAAGATGATTAATACACATGAGGATCTGAAATGTAAAAGAAAAACGTAAATCCACAGCAATTCACCCCTGGTATCATAAAAGAAATGCTAAAATATCATCAGCATCAACTTCAAACTCACCTTTGTTAGAATAGGGGGCTCTATCTTGTTGAACATTTGGAAAAGTCGAGCCAGCAAGCTTTGGCTACACATGTAGGATTTTACAGTAGAATCAGCTTGAGCAAATTCTAGCAAAAGATCTACAACCTTCTCAAGATACTCTCGAGCCACATCAGCATTTAGAGATGACACCATTTGAGAAAGTAATCCAGAAGATGTTGTACTACCAGGTCTAGCGTTCAGAACACCAGACCCAGATAAAACTCCTGATGCTGTCTGTGAAGCAACACTAGATGTCGAGGCACCTTCATTCGAAGTTGTTGAACCTATGGATTGTGGTAAAACCTTCGTGCTCGCCCTCTTAGACAGCTTTCCGTTGAAATCAGCACGTTCAATTTCCTTACCTTGTCTAGAAACCTCTGCAGTTCAGCAGAACAAAAGAAAAAAATATTTTTTTTTTCTGTAACATGCGATCAAAATTAGAATATAAAAGCACGTCATATAACAAAGAGAACATGCAATTTTCTCAGGAGTTGAAAGGATAAATTTCCTTTTTTTTTTTATATTTTGCATCTATGGCTCTGTATAATCTTCAAATTCAATATCACAACTGATAATTAAAGGTGCATGATGATTGGACCATTTATCAAGCATACGTAAAATACAAAAAATGATTGGATGACATACATAATCCCTTTTAAAAGTCAACTTTTGCCAAAGTATTTTACAAATAAAAGATACCCAATACATGCAAGATATCATCAACTGATATATTTTATCGCAAGGTAACTGAAATCCCCAGCAGTCATCAACATGTGCAATCGGAGCTATTCAAGTTGAAATTTCAACGCATCCGATGGATGAACAAACAATCACTAAAATTTTTGAAATAATGAATGTCAATAGTTTAATGATGTCAAAAATATGGATGATTTTGATATTCCATTTGAAGATCATATAATCAAAATATAATTGTCTAGGCAAACAAGATTAAAGATACAAATAAATCACTTTATGTAATAAGTGTAGAACACCAAAGGAGGAAGATCTTCTTGAGAGATCTTCTTGCAAGATCTCTAGAGAGGGAGAGAGGAGGAGGAGGAGAGGGGGAGAACCGTGAACCAACTTCCTCAGATTTTCATTAATTCTCTTGGCTACCTCCTAATACAAAACTAAAGCCTATAAATAGGCTTCTACAAGCTATACAAATAGCTACACCTAAGCTATACAACCTAAATCTAGGACTAATACCTAACAATAAGCATGCATAAAAATAAGTTTTGGTTCAGCCTCATCTAAAGAGAAAATTCTTGTGTATTACTGATTGAATATCGATGCTTACATATAGCAATATTAGAAGCATATAAAAGGAAAATAATATTAAAGAGAACATTCTTAATAAAAAATAATAAAACATATCTTCCTAATCTAGTGCTATCCAAAGAAAGTGCTTCTTAATACAGCATTTTCCTAGGATAACACTCAACCTTGATTCAAAGCGTATATATCAATAAGTTTTAACTTATTACAAAGAAAAAATGTTTTAGATATCTTGGATCTATTGTTTAGAGTGATGGTGAAATAGATGGGGATATTATCAGCAGAATTCAAGTTGGATGGTTGAAGTGGAGGAATGCATCGGGCTTGTTATGTGATAGAAATGTACCCCTCAAACTTAAGGGAAAATTCTATAAGATGGTAGTGAGGCCTGCAATGCTTTATGGTGCCGAATGTTGGCCATTAAAAGAGAAGCATAATACTAAGTTAAGTATGGCAGAGATGAGGATGCTTAGGTGGATGAGTGGCTTTACCCTTAGAGATAAGATACGAAATGAGCATATACGTGAAAAGGTTGGAGTAGCTCCAATAGAAGATAAGATTAGAGAGAGTCGCCTTAGATGGTTTGGTCACATAAAAAGGCGGCCTTCCGATAACCCGGTTAGGAGAGTAGAGGTATTAGATTTGACTTGTGTTAAGAAAGGTAGGGGTAGACAAAGACTTGGTTAGAAAATATTAGGAATGACCTTTCTTTATTAGATTTAAACGAGAATTTGACTTTTAATAAGACACAATGGAGAAAAAATGATTCATGTAGCCGCCCACGCAGTGGGATAAAGGCTTGATGTTGTTGTTGTTGTTGTACAAAGAAAAAATGAAGAGGTCAAAGCATTAGTAAAGATATTATTTATTATCTAACTTGTCTTTACTGGAGATTTGGAGTGATGATCTTCATTAATAAACTGTATCTCTAATGAAATAACAATTCATTTCAATGTGTTTAGCTCTTTAATGGAAGTTAGAGAAGCCAAATACCTCTACGAGAGTTTTTATCTACATCATTATACAAGCAAAATGAGCAATAACCTTGCATGTAACTTCAACACTAAATCTAACAATAACAATCTGCTTCTTACTTTTCAAAGAAGTAAGATATCTACCCACAAAGGCAATGTCCTAAAGTAGAATTTTTATCCTTAATCCATCATACTCTGCATTAGATTAATCTTCAATACTTAAATTAGAATGTTTTTGATAAACTTAATAATTTTTAGGAAATTTCTTGATATATCTAAAAATCCATAGGACATCTCATTTTTTCTTCAAGAGATTTTGCATATATGGACAAACCACACCAAAAAATGATATGTCAAGTCCAGCGATGGATAGATAACCTCACCAACAAGACATTACTAAAATAAAATAATCTTCATAGCTTTCATCATCCTCGGTTGATTGCAGAATTTCCATAGGGACGTTAGCAAGCTTACACTAAAAAAGACCAACTTTTTCAAAAAGGTTTGTGAAGTATTTCTTTTAGAGAGAATTTCATCATGGCCATCTGCAAACTTGATATCAAAAAAGTACTTTTGACACCCTAAATCTTAGTAATAAATAACTTCTATAGAGATTATATTATTTTAGTACTATCAAAAGTATCGCTTCAAGCAAGTAGAATGTCATCAACATTTACAACAAAAATCATTGCACTAGAAGATGAGTGCTAAATAAATATAGAGCAATTAGAGTATTTTTTTAGTATAGTGCAACACTTAAATTTATGCTTTTCTTTTAATGGCCAACATTATGCACTAAATTAATGCTTTTCTTTTAATGGCCAACATTATGCACTATAAAGCATTGCAGGTCTCACCACCATCTTATAAAATTTTTTCTTAAGTTTGAGGGGTACTTTCTATCACACAACAGGCCCGATGCATTCCTTCACTTCAACCATCCAACTTGAATTCTACTAATAATATCCCCATCTATTTCACCATAACTTTGAATAATAAACCCAATATATCTAAAACGTGTACTCTTATTAATGACTTGATCGCCCAAAGTCACAATCCTCCACTAGATCTATTACTACTAATATTACACTCTATATATTCAATTTTAAATCCACTCAAGTGAAACCCTTTAAACTCTAAGGTTGGCCTCCAAAATTCAAGTAACACCCCACGATACCCCTACTAGCAATGCAGAGTGTCACAAAGAACTTAACATTTATAATTCTCAACATCTAATCAATAACCGGAATATTTATTTATATTTCATTTCTTGAACAATACATTTTCTAAATAAACGGAAGCATCTAAATAGTCCTAGTTGCATCACGTAAATAATTACAGAGCCACTAAGAAAATCAAAATACATCACCACAATTTGACTGTTTACATACCTCACATGAAGACTCATAAACACTGCTAAATAATAAACATAAATATTCAATAAACGGAGCCTAATCTGCTTCAACTTTATTCTTGCCTTTCCCTGTAACAACAACTAGCATAAAACTGGTGAGCTATGAAGCTCATAAAGTTATGCAATTTGAATATGAAATTATATGCAAGATTATAAGAAAAAAAAGACATTGAAATCATAATTGAATAAATTCACAAATATTTGCAAAATAATCTAAAATCATATTTATGATAATCTTTTATTTTATTTAAAGCATGTACATAATATCATAATTAATCTTCTAAGATTATGGCTATCATTTTTTATTTATTTAGTTTTAATAAGAATATTGAATGGAGTCAAGTTAAACTTGACATTATCACCATTGAACAATATATAAGTCATAGAAGTATAAATATCTTCATAGGAAAAAAAAAAAACTACATATAGGTCAATTTTGCCTCTTTCAGGGTCTCTTTTGCCCCACCTGCCATATGGGTATCATATCATTTCATAGCCAACCTTCCTTAATTTGATATTCATTAGGCTTCAAAATTTAGAACTTATATTTGTTGTCATGCTTCATGCTTTCATATAAGAATTCTATCTACTATATTTCTTGCAATAAGAGAATAAGTAGACATTACATGATATAGTACATATGATCAATTAGGAAAATATTTATTTACACATTTTATATAACTTTTTAAGTGTAAAATTATCAAATTCACATATGATTATTCATACTTGAATACTTGGCTAGGAACATATTCTAGCAAAATCATTGATGATCAATTAAGAAAATATTTATTTACACATTTTATATAACTTTTTAAGTGTAAAATTATCAAATTCACATATGATTATTCATACTTGAATACTTGGCTATGAACATATTCTAGCAAAATCATTAACTTAAACACAATTTTCCCTTTAATTCAGTAAATTACAAGTGTACATGTATAAAATAATAACATTTGCTTTTTAAATTAAAATTGCATTACGTACATCCTTGATGAGTTGTTTCTTCAATATGACACCTCGAACTTTTATTTGTTTGTAAATTAACTACAATTCACCTCTCTAATTCTATAATTTTCACAATTTATTATTCAAATAAATTGCATAAAATCAACTTATACTAACATAATAATTTACCTCGAAATCAGTTTCTCTCCTCCTTATATACCAATTGAATCCTAACAAAATCGATATAATTATCTTTAGAAACTTTTTTTTACTAAGTTCATGAAATCTAAAAAACAACTATAAACTTTATAATACAACCAACATACTTACCTCTTTCCTTTTACTTCATCCCTAAATTTCTCTATTTTTCTTCTTCTCCCTTCCTCTACTATTACTCCACCAACCGAGCCCTTAAATTCATGGCAGAACTCTGTTTCTATACTTCACCTTCTCCAGCACTCTGCCCCGTTTTGCATTTCACGAACTCTGCCAGCCGCTCCCACAGAACCCGCAAGCAAAACTTTGAGACTCCTCGGCTTCTGCTTGCGTGAAATATAGAATGTAAAAGAGGCAAAATAACTAAATGATGCTCATACTCGAACCCTCACAGCCATTTGTTCCTTTCAATAGCCGTGGCAAACCTCTTTAGGAAACAAAAGAGTAACTTAGTTTTAAGAAAAATAATGGGACAATTAACTGCTTTTATATATTAACTTTATACTTTAATTAATTAACATTCAGTTACTTCTACTGCAGTGCTTAATTTAAACTAACGTTAAGTTAATACTTAAATACTATTTTGAGTTAATAATTAATAAAAATAAATAGTAAAGTCATAATTAATAACTTAATAATTAACAATTATTTAACAATTACAATAATTATCTATTAATAATAATTAATAGTAATTAAATTTTAAACTTAAATATAAATTTTCAGATTAATTTAATTAATCCAAATCTATATTTTTACCTAAATTTTTGGGTATTACACCCTCTCTAGTCTTATCAACAAGAAGAAAGTCAGCAACTATGGGTAGCCTCTTCTCAGCTAAACCTGAACATATAACACTAGGAAAAACCGTAATTTCCAGTGGCATTTCTGACGTTTATAGAAGACGTCACACAAACGAAAACGGATAATTTATGATTGATATAAATATTAGATTGAAAAGTGGTATAAGTAGTTTTATGAAAATTTTGTAATAGTGGCTCTTCAGTTGTATTGAGAAGTTGAAGTTAAATTGCTTATGAAATTGAATGAAATGTTACACCCGTCTGACTTTCGTTCCTGCCTCATTAATTCAAGTATTCGGGTCAGGTCGTGACACTAAAGGAAAGCCAAAGGGTGGGATTTAAGACCCCAGCTAATTACCAAGGTAGACTAAAGGTTAAATTTGGTTGCACTTATCAGTTGATAGCTATCAAAGGTGGAGTAGATTAAGATTTAAAAGTATGAAATCTTAGTCAAAGGTTTTGCATGAGGCGAGCTTGTGCAAATACTTGCATGAATTTAATCAGAGGCTGGGTTTGAAACTTTTGAGGCAAAGAGAACCAACGATGAGACTTGTATTCTCCAGGTAAGGGAGGCCCAGGAGTGATCAAGAAAAAATGCATGGTATGTAAGTTTCAGGAAAATTAAAGTAATAAGGTATATATCTGGCAACAGCAAACCTGCTGAGTTAATAAGGTGTACATGGGTCAAAAATTGGCCAACAGAAAAAAGTAACCATAGGCCTTAAACCACATCAAGAAAGGCGAGCATATGTCTCATCTATAGGAGTTCAGCATAATAACGCTTCACTATAGGGGGATGTCTCCCCATTACACCAAGAAGGGTGCTCATGTTGATCCCTATCGGTCTCCACTCCATGGGTGAGCAAAATTAAAGCTCTGGTGAGCAAAATATAAATTCGGTCTCCACTCTGTGGGTGAGCTTCAATCAATATAACTAAAGAAAATACAAGAAAACATATAAATAATAAGATTTTACTTTAGGTACCATAAAATATTTCTATATCACTTCTGGCCTTCAAGGTTTCCAAAACTTAAAAAAAAAAAAAAATGATAGAATTTCATATTTTGTCCATCTCCATTATTTATGAAACCACAGCAGAGTTCCAATGTCAGAATGAGTGGGACTAGATAAGACTTCATATCGAACAAAATTAAAATTTCAGAGGACCAACATGGACTTGACATATTCCCATCAATTTCTTAAGAAATTTGGAAATTTTTAAGATCAAGAGTCCCCATGGGAGTACATTGACCCTATAAAATGCACATATATGGCTAACCTTAAGGGAGAAGGGGGTTGTTTCACAATCATTTTATGTTTTATTTTCATAGAAGATTTCTTGACATGCCCAATGAGTCATTAACTAGTCGACTTAAGGCTACACACAAGCCTGTTGATGTGGGTCCCACTTAGGGTATGCACGCCCAAATCACATGTTCAATGCCTCAATACACCTCCATAAAGGGACTAATTATTCTGTGCCACCCCCAAATGGATAGAAGATCAATATATCTTTCAAGAGCAAAACAAATGTAGTCTGGAAGACAAATTATAGCTCTCAACACAATATTGTAAGAAAAATTAGCATTCAGAACAACCAGCAGAAGCATGCAAATATCCACTAGAAAAATATTAAAATATGAAACTCCACATGGCAGTGGGATCACATAGGTGAAAATAAGTCAACAAAAATATTTATAGGGTTTCAGCGAACCTAACATGATAGGAACCACTAAGCTTATCATTAGTGAAATGATAAAAAGTGAAATCTTCCTAATGTATGTATGTGTGGGTATCGCCTTGGGAAATTCAAATGGACAACCGAGATGATTGGGATAGGTTCACCAGGCCTCAGCAGTCTCGTTATTGTTTCTTATAGTTATGATGTTAAAAACTGGAGCATATAACATTCTGTGTAAAAAAGAACTTCAGAGAATTTAAATTCTTGAATTGGCATTACTAAATTTACTTCATCACACCAAAGAACTTCAGTCCTTTTTGAATTGCGCAGCAGGAAATGAAGGTACTGATAAACTATAGCGATTATTTTTAACCCAAAATAATTTCGATAACTTTAGTATAAATTGAATACTCTAACAGGACCTCTTAGAACTAATAACATGCTGTCATGGTGCACATTGTCATAGTATAATATGCTGAAAGAAAGAAAAACACTTTACCAGCAAATTCTGCCATCAAAAGCTCAAGTTCTCCATTTGTTTTCCTTTCCGCTGAAGAATGTAGAAGGGGTAATATGCTTTCATGTCTTTCTAGAGCAGGAAGGTTGCGCACATAATCAAGCTGCCCAGAAACATTTCGAGAAGGTGGTTCTTTGTTGAACAAGCTCAGCAGTGGGCGCACTTGTTCCTTTTGGGAAGACAATGTGTTAACACTACTGGGATGTCCATTTGATGTAAGATCCACATGCTTTATAGGTTTGTCCGTAGAAGTTCTGCTAGCACAATCAGTCGACCTTTGTTGCCTAATCAGGTCAGCTTCCAATCGATGAATATCAGGCTTCCAGAGACCCGAATGCTCATGTTCCTCTGAAGCTGCAGCTGAAGACCCTCTGTTAGTTGTGTTCCCAGAATTTTCTGTAACAATTTCAGATGCCTTAGAAGATAATGAAGCCTCCAGTGGAGCATTGCCGAGATGATTCTTATCCGCGTCTCCAAAAAACTGCTTCATCTCCAACATGTTCGCAACAGGCCCTGAAGTAGAAGCTGATAAATGAAATGATTCAGCAGCTACAACTGTGTGAGGAACATCCAATGGACCAGATCTGGGCCGTGCAGCTGCACCATTTTGTACAGATGCCAAGCGAGCTGTCTCATTCATGCTGTGAAGAATGTTGACAAGTCTAAGAAGAATTCCATTCTTGGCAGCGATACGGCAGAAGTCATTTCTTGGAGTGGAATGTTGGAGCTTAAATACATGCCGAATGCCATCTATAGCAAGGTGAACCATTTCCCTGATGATTCAGATCGATAGTCACAAAATAGTTTCCATAAGTTTAACGATGAAAAAAATACAACCCTATAAAATAAAGTACGTAGTGACAGAAGCATACTTCTTATAGTAGGAAAACAACTAATCACATACCTATACTTCGCATAATCAGCCTCGAGAAAACCCACTAGCACAGGTATTCCCCGACAGGCAATAAACATTTGCAGTGTTAAGGTACTGAAAAGAAGAGAGTTTCTAAACTTAACTCATAAAAAGAATTTTGAAACAGAAGGTATTACAGTAATAGAAGTGAAAAAAATAATAATAATAACCTGGACTGGCAAAGCTGCTGAAGAAAAAAAGCAGCTTGTATTCTAACTTCACGAGGGCGATCAGGCACTGCAAAGTTCATTACTACTGGAATCTGCAATTCGCGTTTAGAGCAAAAAACATGAAAAACATTAAAAAAATTCCAACATCAATTTATAAAACAAATCATGATCATCTTACAAGGCCCACAAGACAAGCATTTTCTTGGAAACCAACATTATCCATGACAATCTGGTTGATAATCTGAAGTACAGAACATATGACCTGCAGAAAGGTCATTTTATTTCAATCACTCATTAAACATTTCCGGAAAAACAACTGTCCATGAAGGCTTAGCAACTCTTAACCATTTAATCCCAACCCTGTTCACTTGGCCCACCAAAAAAAAAAAAAAAAAAACGAAGGAATGAATGAAAAGATAAGTACATGGGTTTCTCAGATCTTCCCAGCAAACTAATTAATATTCTGAAGTAATTAAAAAATTTCTCTAATCAGTAGAGTTACAAAAAACACTTACACGGTTTCTTGGAATTTCAAGAAGATCAATAAGAGGAAGAAACCCATGCTGCGATACAAAAACATGCTTTTGCTCTGGACGTTGAACAAAGAATGAGAGAAGTTTCTGGCATGCTGACAAAATTACATCCTCTGGTTTCTCTGGCTTCAGCAATCCAACTAATTTGTTGAACTCTACAGACTGAAAGAAAAAAAATAAGCAAATCAAATAACCAAGAAAACAAGGCAATGACTTGTCAATATTCACAGGTATAAAACTAATTGTCGTACCAAAAATTTAGTACAGAAGCCAGGGAATAATGTTTGACATCTCAAATATCTTACAAGCTACAGAAAAGTTTTAAACAAAAGTGTGTGCACACAATAACAGTAAATTATCAATGATTAGAAGGATTTGGTTAACCACATAAAATAAACAAAATTAGCTACAGATGGTCAAGCATAGCACATCATCATCCATCAAATATCTTGATTAATTTATTATAACACCTCAGGGCTAACAGCAGGAACCCTGCAAGCTTTCTAAATGAACTATCTAGATCGCAAAGCATAGTGCAGGTCCACCCATCGAATGAAAAAAGAACAATAGAAAAGGGAGTACGATTTTGATGGTTTGTTGTTCTAACGAAATAGCTTCTCCTTGTATTGCATCCATCACAAAGGACTTATTAGCAGGTCAAATTCACATTAGTTTTCAACTGCCCCAAAATTAAGAAGCATGATATTCGTAAGAAAATGTGCGACTATCTTGGGAGATTTAACCTAGGCTGATATGAACCACAAACTAACTATAAAAGAGAACAAAAAATATAAAAAGAAAAAAAAACTTTTGTACGGTTAGCTTAAGTGCATGTCTATTGCTGCACAAAGTCATCAAGTTTCCATGATATCAGAGAAAAATAGACAGCACAAATAGAAGATCATCATATTTTTCTTCTCTTATATCTCGATTCCATAAAACACAAAATACAAAAAAATGCTAGACAAATCAAAGTAAACACCAACCTTTTATTGAAGAAATCATGGACACTCTCCAAAATAAAGTAACTTCAATATTTTGGAGATCCTTACCAACTACTCTCTTCTATGCTCATTGCCAAATTCATCGAGACCCACCAGCTACCTCTAAACAAGGACACCCACCACTACCATTGAGAAGTAAACCATAAAAGAAAAAGATTGTCCTTACATGCAGCCAATAATCTCCCTTTAATAAAGCTTAGAAGGTGGTAGATTTGAGTTGCAAAGAAATAAGGCAGAGTTTTAGGAGTGGTAGGTAGATAAATCTCAAAGAGATTAAGCAAAGCTTTTAAGAAAATTTTAATCTTCAAACAATGCAATCTACATTTTGGAGATTAATTTACTGATATAAAATCAATAAGTGAAACAACTCTATACAGCACAACTGATGCAAGACTAAATAAGAATGTAATGTTTGTAAGGATTAGCACAACTCTTGATTAGAATAGCAATGACGAAACCATTAGCATTTTAAAACAACGAATAAAACAAGAAAGGGGTCACACCGGCTTAGGCTAAATCACATAACCAGAGAGTTGGAAAACTTTCAAAATAAATTAGTAAATTACTTTATGCCGAAATAGTACTTTCAATACAATCCATAATCTAACAATGAGAATTAATAAGCATAAAGGCACACTCAAACTCTACGTTTACTAAGCTTAGCAGAAGCAGGGAGGATCGTCCTTCGTGACTGCAATCAAACACAAGATAAAGTTGAACTTCAGAAATATGTTGAAAGGGGAAAAGGGAACCTTCATCAAGGATTGGTGGAGATCCTCCACTCAACGTCTTCAAAATGCTCGTCAACTGCCTCCACCAAGGTGTCCAGAATACACTCGATGTAGTCTTCAACGGTGTGGTCGATCCTTGTATTAACGTCGAAGAAAGTAGACTGAAGAATGTCTACGAAGCCGTCCTCGTCGTACGTTAAGCCATACTTAGTCTCTGGATCCGCCATTCATGGATGCACTCTTGAGCAAATCTCCCACGGCTTGATAGTGCTTTGATTGTTGTTGAAGAGTCTTCCCTATATCTGAAAGAAGTTTCAGATTTTGGAGAAGTTGAAGGATGGAGACCCAAGGGGAAAAGCCAATCTGCAATTCCGGTGAAGGAGTCAATTGGAGAGAGGAAGCTTTAAGAGAGGGAGAGGGGCGGGTATGTGTGAGTAGGCCGGCAACAATGATGAGGAAGGGAGGGAATTTCTTTCCAAGTACAAGAGTTGATTTTAGGAAAGAAATAAGGAGGTTTATGGCTATTGGAAATTTCGGCCAAAGGGAAGATAGGGAATTTGAAAATATTGCCTAAAGGAGGGCTTGGATTTAGGAATTAATTAAGGGGGGCATTAATGGGCTAGGAGAGAGGGGCCCGGTGGTATCATGATGGGGCTTGGGGTTTGATTGCCAAGGGTACAAGCTTGCCTAAATTAAATTAGAACTTAGGAAAGTATTTAATTAACTCTATTTGAATTTGAATTCAAAATAGTGTTAATTTGAAAACTTTCCTAAAATAGATTGACTAATTTAGGAAAGATTTTAAAATTCAAAATGTTTGAATTTGTATTTCAAATCAGCCCCGAAATTTGGCAAGGGAGGCAAGGGGGAAGTTGGCTAGAAGGGGGCGGCGGATGGTGAGGTTCGGCCAGGGGCCGATCGGCCAAGTGGGGGTGAGGTTATGTGGATTTTGGTTGTGAAGTTGAAAGGGTTGGTTGGGAGGGATGGAGATGGTTGGGTGAGATGAGAACCCGGCGGCCACTTAATGGGGAAGAAAGGGGAGGAAGATGGAAGATAGAACCACGAACTCGACTTATCTAGGTTGGTGGGTATTGCGCGAATCTCCCTCTCCTAGGGATCTTTCTCCATTAGAACTCTCAAGCTCTCACAAGAACTCATGCAAGAAAAAAATTTGTAATCATTCATTCATTCATTCATTACCTTCAAAAATAAAACATGAGGCTATAAATAACCAAGTAAATAGGACTCAAGAAAATAAAAGACAAAATTCCCCTCCGGGCTTACATACGACATCTCCCACTAAAGGGTACAACTGGAAAACAAATACACGACACTGAAAATAGAAAAAATACATAAATAAGAAAATAACATAAATAACTCAAAAGTACAAAGACTCGATCGTGGCCATAGATCGGCGGCCAGCCTCTGATAAACCTTCAACGAACTGATGTCCGCATCAACAACACCCTGAAAAACAATCACAAGTGAAACAACTCTATATAGCAGAACTCCCTGGAAAATACCCTATATACTTGTGAAGCCCTAAAGGGCTCAACGCTATGCAACTTTAACAAGCCCAAATTAAACTTGAACAAAACACCCACAAAAGATCTCTAAAGCAAATATGTTGCATAATAAGATGGAACAATCATATCAATCAAACGTGTATTTGCCACTAAATCTTCACACCTTAGAAGTGGTCATCTTCTCGCTCTAAATGTTGCAATGGTACAATCTTTAATATCCCTAAAATCATTAGGATATATAGTATCTGTATTTATTTACCAAAAGATCATATATGCTACTCAGGATATATACAATCATATCATAACTACTATGTCCTTAGTACAAAAGAATAGTTAAAATAACAAAAACATGAACTTGAAGGATCTTGATCAATCTCTCACTCATGATCCTCAGCCCTGACTTGAAAAATATTTAACCATATATAATGAGCTAAAGAGCCCAGCAAGTAACCAAATCCTATAATTGAACTCAATGCAAGTCAAACGAGCAATATGTATGTCAGCAGTCAAATTATAACGGTAACAATTATATGATCAATAATCAATGCAGAAACATTAAAACTCACATGCAACAACAATAAAGTATGTAATTAGTAAAATAGTACGATACAAAAGCCAGTAAAACAATACAATAGAGAAATCAATAAACCAGTAGGAGTATCAAATCGATAAAGCGGTCGTGATATCAATACTAACAATCATTAAAAAAATCATATAAAAATGGTAAAACCAAAGTATCGATAAAAACTATTAAACGCAGATCATTGCAGTAAAATCATATAAGAGTATACACATATCCATGTATTCAATATCAGTATCAAATCAATATATTACATGCTTAATATGTCACATGCTTAGTATTAGTACAGTGAATTAGTAATATCAAACAATATTGATGTTTGTATCGGCAACAATAAAAGTCAAGTGGTAGAAACAGTAAAATAATGCAATAATAATAAATATGTATAGTAATAAGTGCAATGCCTTAATAACACACTTCAATAGTCACACTAAACAAGTAAAAAGTTCTTGTTTAAGCGGCATTTTTCTAGTATCGTATCAATATCATAAAACTGTTAGCTTAGTAAATAGAGTCTTCTCTCTTTGCTCGTCGATATAATAATCATCTCCTTATAAATCTCAATCAGTGAATCACGTGAATCAGTAAAGGATAACACCAAATAACAGTATTTAAAAGAAAGCTCATCAGCCCACAATTCTATACAGGCCAATCAATCTCCAACCAACGTCAGTGAATAACAAGTCTTTACTTGTTTTCCCCACACAAATTATTATCACAGTATCATAACAATAATAAAGATCAACTATATATTCACACTCATTTTCAATGCATTACAGTAAATAAAGTATAATTAAGTTTTATTCATAAAGTGTCAAAATATCCTAACGACAGTCAACAGAAAACCATTTTGATCTCTCACAAAGAGTTGAGAGATTATTTTGATCATTTTCTCGTTGATTTATATATACACACACATGTTTATTTGTTTATTAAGTGTGCATTAAAAATTTATATTTTTTCCTAGATTTGTTCAGTTGCTTTTGCTTGAGGGTGACCTACACATGTGTTGTACAATAGGTTTTTAGGATAAAATTAAAATTTTTACCAATTTTAAAAAAAATCTAAATAAAAAAATCAATCATAGGATAATATACTTTTTTCTACAAAAATTGCATGTCTTACTCAAATAAACCACTTTCAAATAAAAGATGAAATAATCATGCATGGTCAGCATGTCTCATATATAAAGCCCTCATTTAAAAATCAGATAATAAAAAATCTATATGCAATGAGTCAACATATGCATACCTGCATGGTTAAACATCTTAGCTTAAAAGTCCAATTGTAAGTCATATCTTCTAAATCAAAATAGTCCTCCCTAATTTTCATATGCATTGATATTAGGCCTCATAGTTTTAAAAGCGTTTATGTGGATTTAACTGATAGCCCTTTTAAGGTAGGATTATAAATCCAGAGGTCAGGCCATGTTAGCAAGATACCCCCGTCATAGTTAAAGGTATAACTCAGTTGTTGCATGTATCAAATACAGAAATTCAATTAAGTTATCTCACTATCAAACAGAAAAGACGTGCATCAAAACTCTGACTTTTCTTTAAATACTAATCATCACGATAGGCTTTATAAATTATTAGATTGATAAGAAGCCCAGCCAGCAGCCAACTCAATCACAAAATCTACTCTATTCACACCCTGCTTTTTGATTTAGCCAAGATAACTGTTAAAAGAAATCCAAGAAAACTCAGGATCATGCAGAAGATTTCACACGAAGGAGCATACACAACGAAGAACCGTGAAAGCAAATGACATTCTTAGTCCAATCTACATAATCCTACAAAAAAATCCCCACGGACGTCTTAAAAATAAAACCAATAAAAATGAGAGTTTATATAATCAAGCACTAATATTTTTAGTATAATTTAACAACATCCAAATGATAATGGATAAATAATTAAAACAAATTTCAAAGCAAGAATGAGCTATTAAAAGATCTAAGAGCAAAACAAAATTTGAATTGTGCCCATGAAAAAGTAAACTGGTGAACGAACAAATATTGCAAAAATTAAGGTCTCATACTAGGAAACGACTATAGAACGACTTATATACCGCCATACATGTAACAATTACTTATGCATGCAGCTTGCCACATTAAACAACTAGAAAATATATATTTATGGGCTTTAAAAGTTCTACATTAGGAGAAATTCAATACCTGAATGAGAAAAATGTTCTCTGCTGGCAAATTCTCCTCAAAAACCTATCAAAAGAAAGGCAATAACTTATGTCAATATGGATACAGAGTCCATGAATACCTTTTCCAGCAGTACTACCACTTAAACATGGATAAAACAAAAATCTAAAGCATGACACCCATTAGATTCAAGCAAATGCACCATGAAGAAAAGAAGTTGTACCGGGCCATCAATATCAATCACATCCATCACATAATCCAAAAGCTTTCCACCTTTTCGTTCTTTTATTTCAGTTTCCAAGTGCTTCTGGGCCATCCTAGCCTTGAGTTCCTTGGCCAGGTAACTTTTAGCGCCATCACTTAATACATTTCCGTGATCTGTTGTGGAAGTTGAAACTTCTGCACCTTGATCTCCTGGAACCCTATCCAGTGGCTGAAATAAATCATCCAGCAAAGCATCTCCAGGGGAATCCCTGAATCTACTCAAGTCATCCACTCCAGTTACAGTTGAGGGATTCATAACCTTGAAATGGGTTAATAAAACTAGTTAAAAGGACATTGAAATAACATGCATCTCAACACTCATAAGATCAGCTCCCGCCACTTTGAATGCTATATTAGTTTAAGACATTTGGAGAACCAGGTTATTCTATTTGCTAATAAATGACAAACTATAGTTTGTATAATTATGAAATAGCTTTAACTTCAATAAAAGAGCAAATCATACGAATAATAGTGCCACTAAATTATATATTCTATAACTCCACTGGGAAATAGGTTAGCAGATTGTTCAATAAAAAGCAAGGAAAATAACTTTATCACAACCAAATTGAGAAAGGAAGGGTGTTCTTGTTGAACCCCTCGACTCACCTTATGAGAATCAAATTTTCGCATTCCAGCCCGGAAGGAGAATAAGCTACTTTCATCGGGGCTGGAGCTTCCTTCATCATCGCGCTCGACATCTAAACCATTTTCTCCCTCACCCACAGCAACCCTGACCAGTCCATTTGCTACATCAGGAGAAGGTTCACTCAATATTTGTGGATTGTCTATTTTTGAATTGGCACTAGAAGCTTCTTTAACAGAAGATGAGGCCATTGGTTTCTGATGAAAAACTAAAGTTGGGTCTCTAGCAGAAAGCACATCATCTGTCAAACTATCAACACCTTCCGGGGAGGTATCTTGGGTAATGTTATTCTTTCCAGTTTGACTCTCATCTGTTCCATTCCTTTCCAAAGAGCTGGAAGCCAAAGAATCCCTTTCAGATTTCACCTATATCACAGTAAAATAGAAGAGATATTAGCATCAATTCGAATAAGTTGAGCCACAAAATCTGGATCATGATATCAAATAAAAAAATTGCTAAAACTCATAATAATAGTTAACATGACAAAAAATCAATCAAGTTATCATTATAAAACACCATTAATTTCCGAAAAGAGTTCACAAGATTTCACCCTCTTTCCTCCAAAAACCTTTAGTAGCAGCCTATCATTACTGGGCAGTTTAATTCCTATAGTGGCCGCCTATAATTACAGGGTAGTTTGATTCAGTAGTGTTTATTTGAATGTCAGATCCATTTAGATTAAAACAAGGATGTATCCATTCTATGGAGTGCAGGCTCCAAAACTTAGCGCCGTCTTTGCTGAGAGAGTTTGTTAGACCGGTCTAGGAGGGACCGGTCCAGCCGGTCCTTACGGGACCGGCAATTACATCCAACAGACAAAAGTTCTGCCAGCAGTTCCGCCTGCAATAAATACCACCCCTTAGGGGTGGGGACCGGGGGCATTTTCAAAGGGAGATGAGGAAGAAATTAAGAGGGAAAATTAATATGAAGGGGGTTGTTTGGGAATTGTATTATTTTGGATAAGCTTTAAGTAGTGTTTACCTAGGATTCAGTTTTCTCATGTCTTATTTGTTGAAATTAGTTTATTTTTAGGTTATTTGGACTCTAGCCGACGGCTAAAGATTTGAGAGAGCCGGGCCTTCCTCTCCAATTGAAGATCCAATTGTCTTGCATTTCTCTTCATAATTCTTTCAGTAAAAAAATATTTTTGGTCATTCTTCTTCCCAATTTTTTGTGTTTCATCCGCTGATTTTGTGAAAGTGCATCTATTTCCTATCAAATTGGTATTAGCGGAATTTCCTGGGCTAAAATAAAAGTCTTCATCGCTGATTTCTGCTGCGTTTCCTTTCCAATCTTGTTGTTTTTTGCTATTTGGAGGCCATATTAGTATCAAAGTTGTTTTTTGCTATTGGAGCCTAAATCCGGCTACCTATAGCAGGAATAAAGGTAGAAATATTGGAAGGGGAGATTGGACAATTGAAATCTGAAATTTCAGATCTCTAAACTCAATTTTAGATTTCAAAAGTCAAATTTCAACCATGCAATAGAAGATAGATGGAAAATTTTTCATCCTGGAGGAGATGTTGAAGAAGTTGCTTGAGGGTCAACCCAAAATGGCGTCGTCAGAGGCGAGGGAAATCTCCGACAACCAAGGAAGTCGGGAAAACCCTAATCCAATAAGGTGAATGAAAAATCATGAGGTGGAGATTTTGGAGGGAGAAGAGAGAATGCCTCCCCTAGAGCCTATTACTAAGGAGCTGGGTAGACGGTATGAGGAGGTCGGTCATGAATGAAAGAGTGCTGAATTTGAGAAGAGAGGGACACAATTTGAAAGAGGATGGACTAATTGTCACCGAAGGGGTGTTGAATTTGAAAGGGAAGAGATGATTATGATCGAAGAGGTGTTGAATTTGAAAGGAGAAGGTGGGAATTTGATGAAAGGTTTGGGTACGAGTATAAAAGGGATGATTGGAACACTTGAGGGGGACCACCCTCTTTAGAGAATGGGGAAATTATGAAGGAAATAAGGGGAACAAAGGAGATCCGAGGGTAAGGAAGCTGAAGATCTTTTTTTTGGGGAAATGACGCCCATGGGTGGATCTACAAGGTGGAAATGTACTTTACCATCAATAGGTTGATGGAGGAGGAGAGATTGACGATAGCTGGGATATGCTTTGAGGGAAAAGTGTTGGCTTGGTACTAGTGGAGGGATATGAGAGTTTAAAGACAAATTGTTAGAATGTTTTCGAACCAGCAGGGGAGGAGACTTCTATGAGCAGTTCGATGTCATGATGCAAGAGGGGCGGTGGTGAAATATTGTGAGCATTTGAGCACTTGGCCAGCAGACTAGACCGGCTTGTGGAGACTGTACTAGAGGGGAACTATACGAAAGAGCTTAAATTAGAGATTCAGGCGGTAGTTAGAGTAATAAGGCCTCGTAATTTAGGAGAGGCTATGGAAGCTAGCCCAATTAATGGAAGATTAGAGGCACCAGGAGAGAGGGACTAGAGGCAACAACTTAGGAGGTTCATACAGGATGACAACCACCTTTTTAACATCCAAGGAGCTGACACCGGTTGTTACTCTTAGGAAGACCCCGAAGGAGAAAACTGTAGGAGGGAGACCAAGGGAAAATTTCAAGAAGCTCACAGAAACAAAGTTACAGGAGAAGAGGGCAAAGGGACTTTGCTTCGGATGTGAGGAGATGTATACACTAGGGCACCGATGTAAAGACCGATCTCTTCAAGTTCTCACCATTTGTATTGACGAGAAAATTGAGGAAGGAGTCGTCTTTCCATCTTGCGGAATAGGTGGGTTTTGTGAGGGAGGTATTGTTATACCAGTCCAACTGGTCCAGGAGGGACCAGTCTAGCCGATCCTTATGGACAAGGCGGCTATCGATTAATGCTAGTCGGTAAGCAATAAATATGTAACCTATGGTAGCAACAATTTAAATTTTAAAGATACGAAAATCTACTACCTTTAGCCTAAAATGAAGGATAGGGGATGATAATGAACCATATCAAGATCCCATGATTTTGACTAGGCATTAACGTAGAAGGGTCAATCGAGTGAAGCTCTTTCTTACGGGTTGTCAAACACCCTGGTCTACTTAGTCGATGAAAGTGGTCAACCAAATATGATTGAATGAACCTTCTCGATAGCCACAAGTTGCATCGTCTTAGGGGACTTCATATATATATGGCGGAGGTTTGTCGAGGAAAATAATTTTAAGAATGATTTTAACTAACAGAGGACTTTACGTGTTATCAAATAAACTATATAAATCCCTACTCAGGGTTTGGGGCCATTGGAAAACATTCAAGCTATGGTCGTAAATGTAATTTAATAATGTCATTTAACAGTGAAACCATGCAATCATTCAACTCCAGTCATAACCGCATATTTTTCGTATCATTTGGCAACAAAATCACATAATTAGAGCACACACACTAGGGTTGTAACTGAGCTTATATTAAATTGGTGTCACGCACACATCATTGATGTCGTGAGATATTTTAAGTGATCACACCAATATGCTTATATTAAATTGGCTCTTTGTGAGTTGAGATCAATTTTAAAATTTTCACTCTAGACAAAATATTGCAAAGGGTTAGGGCTACAAACGAACCAACCTTTCAACAAACTATTTATGGTTTGACTCGATCATAACACGTTCATGATCATTTGATTAAATAATCAAACATGCTTGAACATTTATTTAGATATTCATGGTTAAATAAACAAAATTGAATAATTATGCGTTCGACTCATTTATATTCATAAATAACATCATTTAAAACTCATGAAAAAGCTCGTTAAGAAACTCAATTAATATTTGATACAAGGTCGATTAAGTCTTGTTATGAAAAAGATGAACAATCTAATATCAAAATTTTGTATTTATCATAATTTAATAATATAATAAGAATTAATTAATAAGTAAAAGATTATTTATTATAAATATAGAGATTGCCTTAAATCTTTAGCATATTTTCACATAAATTTTAGTTTTATTATAATAAATTATTCTTATTTTATAAAAATTAATTTTATTTTTATGGTATATTCTTTCATTACAACAATTTTGTTCATAAACATGAGATATTTATTGATGTTTGCTTGATTGTTTGTTTCAAGTGTTCATATATGAACCTATTTATAAGAAGAATCATCTCGTTAATTCGTGAATGAACTTGTTTGGTAGCTCAAAAATACTCACTAGATATGTTCGTGAACTGGCACATTTGGCAGCTCAAAAACACTCGCTAAATATGTTCACAAACAACTCTACGGTAATTGTTTGTTATTTGGGCCAATAAGGCTCATTTGGTAAGCTAACGAACATCTAAAAAATAAAACTCATTAGTTGTTCGATAATGCTCATTTGTTTAAAGCATTGTTTAAAATTGTGCAATATGAGGCCTACCTTGAGGCCCATCTCAAAACAATTCCAGTGAAAAAAGCCTAGTCTTATGCCTCATCTTAGCTGAGGCCCGCCTTGAGGCGCGCCTCGCCTTGCTGGCAAGAGGCATACGCCTCGCTCTATTTATGTATGTTTTTTTTTTTAATTTAAAACTGAGCTATATCCTATACAAAAGCCCCAAAAAAATCATGCCTTTTGCACTCCCAAGTCGCAACAACTTCCTCTCAACTGCCTCGACCTCCAGCCCACCGCCTTCGTCGTAGTCACCAACATCATAGTTGCCACCCGTAATAACTTGAAATCTACACGCCACCACCATCTCCTCTAAAAATTTGAGGATTAATCTTATATTTATATTGATGGCAAACATTTATGAAAGAGGAATATGACTGAATTGGAAGAAAAAGCAGATTGAGAGGTATTGGACCCTACAGGATGAGGCTGAGGAGAGACCAAATTTTTATGAAAATAACTCAAATAAAAATCTCCTTAGTAATGACAGTACATATGATTTTTGAGTTGTTGCTATTTATTTCAACTTTCTTGTTGACCTTCGTATAATACCCGGAGGAAGACAAAAATAACGACAAAAAATACCTCGTATCCCGTCGGATCCAGGAATCCCGCATATCTCTGCTAAATTCCGCAAATCCTGCTCAAATCACGCCATATCACTGTAGATGTGGCGCCGTTCGCCGCAAATCCTGCGACCGTTGTTCAAAACGACGCTGCGCCTCGTCGTTAAATAGGAGAGGAAGACATCTCCATTCGGCTGCTCTCTTCTCCCACTCGCCTCCTCCACGCGAAAGCTCTTCTCTCTGCCTGCTCTCGACTACAAGCCACGACCGAACCCTACTCTCTCCTCAACTCCCGAACCCTCTCCCATTGCTGAAGCTCTCGGTTCATTCTTCCCCTCTCATCTCCAACACCGACTCTTCCTCCTCTTCCACCCGTAGCCGAAGCCCTCTCTCCCCGCAGCAGTCGCCCGAGCCAACTCCC